CCTTGGCAACCAGGGCATAAACTAAGCATCCCACGATTATTCCTCGTTCTTTTCAAAGCGGTAATGTCCAATTCTCTTCTTCGTTTACGCGCTCTCTGCTTGTCTATCACTCTCTTTATCTCTCTCGCTCTCAGGAAGCAGAAAGCATGCTTTATCTCCCTCTCTCTCTCTCTTTCGCCAGGGCCCCCCTCACCCGCGCGCGCTAGCGGAGCTACTTATTGAAACGGCGAACTCCACGAAGGCAAAAGTTTGATGCTGTTCATTCTTCGCCCCACACCAAGGGTAGTATGGCAAAGCGAAATAAGTATCAAATCCACCAAGCAGCAGCATCATCCTGAGCAGGGCATATCCCTGCAATCCAGTGGAGTATGGCCATGTTGCATAGCATTCGTGCGCATGCCACGTCGCGGGGTCAACACCCCGAATGCAACACTTCAAATCGACACTAGAGCCTACAACAGGGATGACTGTGGCGTGAACAGGTCATTTGTGCGACATCGGCAGCGCTGTGCAGGGCATCTGCGTTAAACCCTAAACCCTTTCTTTCCCCAGGGTTGTGGTGGGGAGTTGCCTCCCCACCGCGCGCATGCCCCCGCCTGTTGCGGGCGCCAATGGTGCAAGTCAGCATGCCCAAAAGATGGAGTGCTCGCATAAAAAGACAAGATGCAACCCTCTGGAACACAAGACAGACTTGGAAATTTCGTTCTGCCGGGCTTAGGGGTCGTCTACTCTCTTCGCTTTGCTTTGCTTAGGGCGCGCGCAGGTGCGCTGCCCCATCCATCATTTTGACTGGATGGGCTCTGCTGTACGAAGGAGTTGTGTGCCCCTGGAGCACCATGTACCCCATGTGGGGGTGTCTGTGTGCTGGCAGAGATGTGTGCCACTATTTTCGGCAAAACTGTGTGTGCTGGGGGCTGCGTCAAAAACATGCCTGAATTACCGGCCCAGAAGAGGCTTATGCTCGTTGTGGGCACACCATTCTGTTGGTTAGGAGAAAGGAAAAGGAGGGTGCCCCGAGTACAAATTAGTAGGTGAGAAGACAGTAACCCTGTAGTGAGAGCGTCTCCACTTTTTGCGCGTGCTTCTTATGTGGTTCACGGAAGCCGGGTCCCGGCTCTTGCAAAGGTAAACTCTTCAAAACTGTGTAGCCGCTGTCCTCGCTGGTCAGGTGCCCCAACTTCACAAACTACTTGCGCTTGTCGAGCTTGATGCCCATCTTGATCACCTTTTGTGCCAGGCCTTTGGAGCTGAGGTGTCCCGCTCGACCGTCCTCGTGTTTGCTGCTGGTGCTCCACGTACTCGAGGTGGCAGTGCTGGCTCTGCAACGTTGGTGTGTCCTGGGACCCACTCTGTCTCAGGTTTGGGTGGACGGTTCCCTGGTCCGCTGCTTCTCTGTCCTGCGGGTTGTTCCACTGTGTCCGCAGCCTTCTTTGCAGCGGGTGCCCTTGGAGTGGGTGCCCTTTGTAGCAAGACCCTTCTCTGTGCTATTGCATTGGCGCGGATAGCAAGTTCTTCTTTTGGTACTCCGCTCCGTGCTGAAGAGGACGCCGAAGAGGTGCACGGCTCGGCGGGGGCGGCCCCTGCACTGACGGGGTCGACTCCCTGGGACTTAGTCTTTCGTTCCGCGCTGGATTGCTTTGAACTTGGCTGCTGTTGGGTCACTGCGGCCTTAGTTGTCTCGTCCTCCCCGAAGTCCATAATGTCCCAGAAAGCGGCATCTGACTCTTGTTCCCCAGTGTCACGCGGGATGTACTTGGCGAGCTTCGGGGGTACTAGTGGTTGCGGTTTGCCCGCTGCCTTGCGTTTCTTTCCAGGCCCCCTGGTGCTGGTAGAGGAGGTTGTGCTGCTGCCGCTGCTGTCTTCTGGAGGTAGGTCTTCTTTCTTGCCGGGTCTCGCCTTGGCCTTGGGGTACTCCTGCTTTTTGGGTGTCGCCTTTGACTTCGAGCTGGTAGTTGCCCGGGGTCGTGTAGTGGGTCGTTTCATAACGGTCTGCTTCGTTATCTCGTCCTCTTTCTTCTTGGTCTCCCGGCGTTGGCTCTGTGCCTCCTGGCGTTGGCTCTGTGCCCCCTTCGGCTTCCCGGTTTTGTGTTGCAGGGCATGCTTTACCAAGATGCCCGCGTGGGCTGCGTCTGGTCTCTGTGGCTTCTCGCAGGAGCTTGCGAGCTGCCCCTCCACGTGCTTGGCTCTGGTAGAGTACACAAGGTGGTGCCCCGCGGTCGTGACTGTAGTGTTTGCCCCCTGCTCCTCTGCCGACTCCGAGTAAGCACCGAAGGCAGACGTGCTTGCCGTCCACGAAAACTGGGTCTGGCGCCTTCGCTGGCTTGCGGGTTTTCGTCTGAGCATCGTCGTCTTCACCTGGTTTTGCGTCGTCGTCAGCCGTAGGTGTTCTCCGCATTCGTGGTGTCCCTGCCACTGTCACGTTCTTTACGGCCTCGGTGTCCCCCACCCAGTCAGGTCTTTCAGTTGCGTCTTGTCGGGGTCGCCTTCGAGGAAGAGGTGGTCGGTCTGCGAGATCTCGTTGTTCCCTGCCTGAGCGATGTGGTACTCCCTCTGGTGGTGCATCTTCACTGGGAGGTCCGCCGTCACATGGTATGTCGCCCCCCCTACTCCCGGGCCACCTCCGGAGAGGGCCGGGGTCAGGAGAGGTCTTTGCGAACCCTGGGGCACTTGCGAGCCCGACATGTTGCGGCGTGTGGTCTCAAGCCACCCGCCGCCCCGACGCGTCCACCCCCAAATCCACAGAGATCACCCTCTGCGGCCTCAAGGGCCGGCCGGAGCCCCCTACCCCCAAAGGAGCAGAGAAGGCAGATGACTTGAGCCAAAATGGCTACGGCTACTCTCTCTCTCTCTCTCTCTTTCTCTCTCTCCGTAAAATTATGAGATTGTCAGAGGCGCATGAGCTGGTTGTAGACATCGTAGGTCATCGGGAAAGCGTCGTACCAGCACTCCTCGCCAGAATCGTCCCCCTCGGTGTGGCGACCTGAGCTGGGACCCGGCTGGTCTACCTGTCGAGCCGTTTCAACCGGAACATAAGTGACATCAGTGCCTCAGCAAGCGTAGCGGCGTAGCGAAACTAGCGGAGCGCAGTGCGCCGTTTGCAAAGCAAGGAACAGATGTGCTGATCGGCTTCCAGGCTGTGGCAGCTCCACTTTTCGCAGTAACGGTTATTCGCCGAAAGTTGAAAGCATTTACCTGACCGAGCAATCGGACGTACAGGGACAAGTCACGACAACCAGAACCTGCTGCCGAGCTTCACATGCCAAAGTCATGCTCGCCGCAGTTCCACTCGTGGCTGGTCCAGGATACACAAATATCGTGGGTCGGGTGCATGTCCACGCATTGGTAGTCCTTCGAAGAAGCAGTGCTCAGGAAGTACCGGAGCCTAGTAGCCTAGAACCTGCACCCCGCACGGAGCCCCCACATCCCTTGATCCTCGGACTCCAAGTCGGGCCACCAGACCCAGGACGGGTTGCCGCGCCAGATGCCATCCACCACGCGCCCGGTCCTGGCAATCTGCCAATCTTTGCAAGTCAAGAGCCGAGGCCCTCTCTGCGCTTCGGATCTTCGGCCTCTCGTCGAAGACGGAGGCTTCCGGTCGCCAGGACAGCTGCGGCTGTGGCGGTTGGCAGCCGCAGCCCTGGAGAGACGTCATCCAAGCCAAGACTCCTGTCAGAGCGGGGGAGCTCGGCCCGGGCTCGGCGCTGACGTCTTTGCCAGTCCTCCGAGGAGAAGGAGTCGCTTCGGTATCCCCGAGCTGGCAGCGAGGGTCCTTCAAAGCGGGCGGTCTGTCATCAGAGGGCGGCCAGGTCCCAATCGGTTCATCCCAGTCACAGGGCCAGTGGCAAAGCTACGCTGGCGGCCCTGGCACTGCTACCTTGGCAAGGCAGCCGCAGGTAGCCTATGTGACAAGTGGTACTGGAAACACTTTCAGCTGCAAAAAGCTGTTCTTCCTCTCATCACGGCCGACTCGACTGCCCACCTTTGAAAGCATTGGCAAGCCGCACTGCACGTCGCAAGTGTAGTATGTGGAGCCGGTCGAGGTGTTGGCCTGACCGAGATCTGCGAATCAACGAGGAGCGAAGGGTGAGGACTTAATACGACTTTGCATCCATGGTATACGAAACGTACGATTCTACGACCACCACAACTCAGATCCAATCCGGCCTTAAACCCCTCCTCCAGCGCAATGTTGCACAAAGCCGCATAGTTCCTTCAGAGTTGTCACTGCTTGAGGGTTCTCCAAAGTAGACCCTTCCCCAGGTTCGGGTAGCGACGGTAGCGGGACTTCCGTAAGAGCCGCGACATGGCCCCAACACTCCCTGCCGTCTCTCAGTCCTCATGCAGTCTGCACCCTCACGAGCGGCACAGAACGAGGCGCACTTCAACTGGGCGCACTCATCAGGCCCGCTCGGCGTGATGCAGTAATGGCAATGTTGGACACACCTCCACGGCCACAGGTCTCTGTCCCTCAATTTCTCTCCCTCACCGCACACGCAGAAACAACTGACGATAATCCCCATCGCAGCAACGGTCCCACCCACGGTATCCGTAGTAGCTGCAGCCCTTGATGTTGAGGTCGCTGTGCCAGACACATGTGTCTCCTTATCGCCGAGCAACCGGGCTGCAAAGCGATCAAAGCGAAGATGCGGTTGCGCCCGGGATAGGAGTAGCCCTTTTCATTCCAGACTCTTTTTGCTTTACAGACAAGCGCTGAGACTGGCCAGGGCTCGGTAGATGTCCTCACAGCCCTGCAGGAAACAGGCCACTGCCAGGCAGGTAGCAGCCACAAGGGTCTTGCAAAGCCTCGGGGTCCACTTTCACGGATGGCGCCGACTAGCACACGCCACCACGTGCCTTCCAAGCCCGCTGGCGCTCGCGGCCGGTTGCGCCACCGCAGCTGCCATGGCTGCCACAGGCCGGGCTCAAGCCGAAACGGCACTGGAACGGAAGCTCCCTTCAACAGCACATGCACAAGCCGGACGAGAGGGGCCACCGGGTGCCTCCCGCATGTCCTCGTTCTGCTTTGTCTGCAGAGCGAGGGGTGCCGAAGGCAAGTCCAAGTGAAACCTGTAAAGGTGAACACAGATAGAGCTTGCGCGAAGGCTGCGGCAGTGTACGATGCAAGAAACGCGAACATCCATTTGCAGCCCGGCCACAGTTCACGAGCAGCCTCGCGCACACTGACACTGGCACTCGCACACTCCGGCGCTTCCTCGTGGCTCAAAGGCTGAAGATGCTGCAATGCACAGAGCCTCGCGGAAGACATGTTCCAGGAAGCCGCCCGACCTCGAGCGCAGGTCTAGGCCTGACATCTCAGCTCCTCACAGAGCTCGTCTGAGGTGCTCTGCCCAGCATTGTTGCGCACCGCACAAATGAGCGGCGACACTCTAGCCTGAGCTATGCAGCAATTGTCTCCTGACAGGCTACAGAGCGCCAGCCTCTAAGCTTCCGAGGAAGACATCTGTCAAAACCTCCGGCAGCAGGCTTTCGGCGCTTCTGTTTTCAATTGGCTCAAGACAGAGAAGGTGCTTTCATTGACGAGAGAGACATTGACAAGGATTCTGATGGCTACCAGGATCAGGCACAATTGACGGTCTTACGGGGAGGGAGCCTTCGCGCATGCGACACTACCCCTTGTCATACCTGACTCTCTGCAAGGCCTCGCTTTGCAACGGGCACGGCGGGATCTTCGACAGCTCCGTCTTCTGGGCAGAGGGATCACCGTTGAAGGTGTCAGACACTTTTCCATGGTTCTCCTCTCTCCTGACGGTGGTAACGGTCAAGCCTCGCAGGCATGGACGCCGCAGGACCCGCAGCATCCATCGCCGGCGTTCCGAAGCAGTGACAGCCTCAGCAGTGAACAGCCGCCGGGATTCGCAGTCACATTGATGCTCGTGGCTCATGTAGTCTCTTCGACACACCTCTGTTCTGCCGGGTGATTGCCCTCAGGTCTGATTGACTGACCCGACTCCACTCAGACGGCATCTGCTCCTCACACGAACTATTGATAGAACTTTGGTAACATCAGTTAATGTCGCCAGCGGACAGTTCAGAGGCCGTCAGCACTGTGTCCACCTGGCCACAGAAGATCGCAGAAGCTACCGCGACGGCGAGTCAGTGAAGATGGGCAAAGCTTCCCCCCGGCCCCCCCCCCCCCAACTGCCTCCTTGACGCCCGAGACACCGGGCCTGGAAACGGACCGAACCGCATGGAGCAATGTGGCGACTGGATACTTCTGAGCACCCGGGCACTTCAAAAGATGGTCGTGCGGCTTCGATCTTCCGATCGTAACAAGGCTGCACCTCGCGGAAGGCGAGAGGCTGCACATGAGAGGCTGTCGGGAAGAGCTAGACACGTTTGCAGGTCAAAAGGAAGCATCGCACGCTCGCAAGACTTGGATGCAGCAAGCTGAGACCCTTGCAAAAACGTGATAAACCTCGGCTGCACTTTGTGGTGACACAGGATCTTGCCAAAGAACAGCAGTCCAACAAACAGGCCGACACTTGCGTCAGAGAGGCATCGGAGGGCTTCAGCAGGACCGGAGGCTCTTCTTCCTGAATTAGCAAAGTGGTGGCGTCGTGTTCACAGTGAAAGAAAGTCTCAGCCTTCAGAAGCGACTGGATCCAGTAGCCCGCAGCGAAGAAGGGGCTCCGTGCCTGGCACAAGGCCGAGCGGACACACAGGGAAACCGCTCACAGATCCGACACGCCCCTCAGCTCTTGCGCCTGCACACACACTTCCCACCCCCGACCCAAACTTGCTCCTGTGCGCATTGACCCCTCCAGACATCGGCTGTCGAAGACTCAAATTTTCAGGGCTGGGGTTGAACGTTCCAAGCTGTCAACTACTGCCACAACCACCAACACCCAAACTGGCAATCTGGTCGGAGACAGACCCGCCACCAGCGGTAGAAGCGCCGACGGTTCACGGCTTCCAGGAGAGCGGTCTTCACCAGGCGCCCCTGCCTTTAAGAGCAAGCAACCTAAAAGAAAGCTGCAAGCATAGGGTACATAAGCCCGTTAGCGCCAGAAGCTTCTGCAGCAAGGCCCTACATACAATATGATTAAAACGGCCCTGACCGCCATGAGCCGGCGCCAGATTGTGCTGGGCTTGTTGAGGTCTTCGCACGTGCTGCGGAGGTCGTACTGGCGTCAGGTGCGGCAAGACCACCGGATCCACGACCTTCCACAGCACGCATGGTAGCGGGTATCGGGCAAACCCAAACTAGATCGTGCACTGTCGGCTGCCCTTGATATCTGCAATCTCGCACACACAACAGCAGGGAAGGCCAAGAATCCACACCTTCTCGGCATACAGCGTCCAACCTGACCAATGCCCGGATTGCTCCAATCAACATCAACGTATGTTCCAATGCATGGTGGAAGGTTGACGAGTTCAAGCTCCTGGCTTAATTGGCACTAGCACGGGACGTGTCGGACGTGTCTGCTTTGCATTCAGGCTACGCCTCAATAACCCACGTGCGACTAGCCGTCACAATTTTAATAGATGTCATGAAGGTCTGCGAACTCTCACATACCACGTTGCACTGTTTCATTCCTCGGCAAGCAAGCTACGTCTCCACTGAGGCTGTTCTGGTTGAGCGGATATGGGACGAGTCTCCAAGGTTCCAAATAGCACCCCATGACCTGTCACTCATCTTTGCAACATCCCCACGAACTTACCGCACCTGGGCAGTGGGATGTCAGCAGCGGCAGCTTGCCGGCTGTAGACTTCCCACCTTCGTGGCGCTCCAGATCTTTTCTCTACGAAACTTTCGCAGCTGGCTTGTGTCAAAGAGAATCCGGCCCGAACGGCTGAACCCGTTGGAGCCGTTGCGGCTCCCAGTGCTACCTCCCACAGCCTCGCAGGACGTCGGACTCGCGAGAGAAGCGAAGCGAAAGCCACGAGGCCATGGCACTGCGGAAGCGCTGTGTGAACTCCGCCTGGCCTGAGACCATCTCTCGAGCGCGAGACACAGGCAGCTCACAGCTCACAAGCAGCAAACCGTGCCGGCCCGGCCTTCAAGAAGTGCCACAGCTTCGGCTGCCGAGGCCTCCAGGACCAGGTCGGCACCCAGCCGTCGCAGTCCCTGCCACAGCAAGAAAAAAGGCCGGGAGATCCCACCCGCGCTGGCATGCGCACGGGCGCTGGGGGCACCTCTCCTATCCGGCGCAGGGTCAGCAGGGGCCCCTCGCCATTGTGGGCAGCAATGGAGGTGCGGGCCTCCGCAGCTGTCTTTCTGTTTGGTTGAGAATGCCCAGTCAAACTCAGAGGGTACCTAAACGGCGGTCCTCTCGCCTCTGCGAGGCTACACGTCGAAAGCCAACACCGCAGTTCCGCACGGCAATACCCGACTATGCCCTGACACGGCCAGGGATCTGTGTCGCTGGTTGCATATTAGCATCGGCATCCGGCCAGGGATTCTTGAGAGATGCCTGAAACTGATTCGTTTACATGTAGCAGGCGCTGCAAAAGCAGCTCTTGCGGCTGCTTCGAGCTACAAGAGATCCAACCTTCCTGCATGCCGGCCTCTGCGGAAATGGAGACGACGGTGAGCGGCGAAGTCTGGCCAAGGCATCCAACGGCCAAGACAAGGAACATCAGAAAGAACATGTAAAGGGCACGACCCCGGCAGAAACTTAGCCGCAAAGACGGCTAGCGGCCAGCAAGCGCAGCTTCTAAACGCACATGCGGTTTCTCGTGTCTGATTCGATTCTGCTTGTCACAAGATGCAAACCCATACTCACTCGGATCTATTGCCCGGACTCTGTAGGCCTCTGCACGCTTCAGAAACTCGTCGCCGCTCTGCTCTTGCCTCAGCTTGGGCCCTTGCGGCCCTCGTAGGATAGGACCACGGAAGAGACTCTAAGCTAACCCTAACATGAGGAGGCTTTCGGCAGTGCGACCGAAGTGACAGCAGAACGGTCTCGGCGCTTGTGACGCAGCCGCTGCAGGCCAAGCAATCCGACAAAGTCACCTGGCCGATCTGCGCCTGCGACGAGGCCAGGCTGGGCCAAGGCTGCGGTTGGCCAATGCACGGCCGATCTGCGCCTTGGGATCCGAACCGCTCTGCTTTGACCTCGGCAAGTCAGACACCGGCGCTATCCCACGACACCTTTCGAAAAGTTTTTAAAAGTGGTCCGCCGCAATCAATGAATCGAACTGACGTGGTAGCAAGGTTGCGCACGCGCTCCGCATCACACCGGATATCTCAGGCTTGTACTTGATCAAGTTGGGCTTCTTCACCTGCGGTACCTGACCGCCAGAGATAGACCGGAGGTCAGAGGTCCAGAAGCCCGGCTCACCTAGCAGAAAAACCTAGAAAGTTTGTGGGCCCCATGCGAAAGAGGCTTCAGCGTCACAGCTACAAAATCCCGCTCTTTCCCATCAGCCTCAGCCACTGGAAGAGACCGAGCTTCGCTGACGTTTCCGAGCTTGGCCTGGGCACACAAAGCACCGAAACGAGCACTCACACGCCCGGTCCGGACGGAAGCGGCCCAAATCGAGAAACCTACCCAAAAATCCCAAGACTCCATCACAAAACATGCAAATGCAAACCACAGGACTTGCGACGACGTTTCCAAGAAGACAGAAGGAGCGAGAGAAACAGAGGGAGAAAAGAAAAACAAAAAAAGCACAGACCGCTCAATGCCTTGATCCTGTTGAACCTCCAGTCCATCCACGACATCGATCGACATAGCTCTAACAAGGCCAACACGCTCAAACTTGTCAAACTCCACCCTGAGCATCCGTAGGCCTATGCATGTTCATTCCTAGTCTCGCTTCAGAAGAACATGGCAATCTTAGGGCCACGTCGAGCTGACCAGCAGGACGGTACGATGTTCACGTAGGCTTCGTGTCAAGTTCGCATCAAACTTTGCTACCCGCATCTACTCGCTGCTCGCTGCTCGCAGCCAGCATCTCGGCCGCTTGCGCTCTTGCCACTTCCTTCAGCGGCCTTGTCTCAGGCTCCGAAAGGATATAGTATGAGCCTGATGATTACCTGCGATCCCCAGTTAACCGGTGGCTTGATTATCTGCGATCGTTACCTACGGTGGTGCCGGCATCTTACGAAGCCTGTGTGCCAAACACGAAAAAGTCACGCAGCCGGCCAGAACGTCCAGGCCTCAATCAGCGGCTTCACGCATTCCTGCGAGCAATCTTAATGCCAAGACGCATTCCGACGTTCTGAAACAAAACATGACCCGCCCTTGTGCAGCCGAGCGTTCTGCAGATCCTCTGCACTGGAACTCCCGAGACCCCCTACGTCCTGTGACAGGGAGATGAAGTCGTCAAGGTCACCGAGCTTCACGCCACTGCTGAAGGCCATGAAGCACTACCTCAGTGCAGACTTGGGCCACAAGTTCGGGCATGCTGCTGCTGTGTAATGCGCAAGCAACTAACTTAGTCCGTTCCGAAACCAAACCATCTGCGCAGGCACAGCTTCACCGAGCTTACGATCAGAACAGCTGGTCTCCAGACCAGAAATCATCTCACGATGATGTGTCAACTTGCCTGGCTTTATCGTTTCGCCGTGTTCACTACTGCTCATGAGGCCGGGATCTAGCAAACTAGCGACTATTGCATAGTGTCCGAAAGAAGAACCGGCTGCAACTCGCCGTGGCATGTGCGATCAAGACACCCCGGCTTGTCCGAAGCAGCTGCAACCACTTTCGAGCCCAGCAGCCAGGCGACGAGTGAGAGTGTCTGAACATGCTCTGAGTGCCTGAGGTTGTCAACCGTCCTCAATGCCGAAGATTACCGAACTGCAGATTCGACTTTCGTTGCAACCGAACTCCGTCACGCTTTTGCAGATCTGGCTGCCAAGCCCTGCGTGAGACTTGTCAACTATGTACACTAGCAAGACCATCGGTGGTGAAGACAGCAATCAAGGCCAGTACTAGGTGCACCTGCTTTGCTAGGCCACAAACGGAGAGAAGTTAGAAGAGGAAGAGTCGCTTCTTCACCTCAGCAGCTGCGAATGTTGCTCACGTTTGTGGCAGCTGTTCTGTGCTGGTGTCTGCTGCAGCCGTTGCACCAACTGACAATGCCTCCCTGGAACGCCACAGAAGGCTGAACCACAAGGCACAAAAAGACGTACTGGCTTGAAGAGCCATTCCCGTCCAGAGCCAAGAGTCGATGACGGGATCTGCATCGTAGGCCTGGGAAGAGAGCAAAACCAAAATGGACGCGCCGCGTTGGCCCCCTTCCAAAATCACCAGATCAAGCGACGATGCTATTTACAAGTTTACCTTGTTTAAACCCACACTGAAGCCAAGAGGACAGTTCTTTTCCTTTACAGGACATGCACCTGCATACTTGTTACAGGACATCTTTGTGAAAGGATCTTGGCTCTACGGGGTGCTCCGGGATGTGTGGCCCTCGAACAACAGAACAGAACATGACACCATTGACGAAGACGATTTGCCGGGCTCCCCGGCCGAGATGCCTTGCACGAAGACCCCTGTGCCTGACCCGGTGGACAGTCCAAAGAGTGGTGAGAACAACAGTGAGTTGTTGCAACTTACAGTCCTGCAAGATGAAACCTATATTGGGCTGCAGGATTCCGCATTTTGGCCTGCTGCAAGCAGGATCATGGAGATGGGATGGTTGAACTCCGCTAGCAAGGCCACCAGGAAACCGATGATGTAATGATGCAGGTGGACATAGACACCCGCCGTCTCGGACCTGGGCGAATGCGCAGGCCTACGGGCCAGTACCATGGCGGTGGGCTCCGGGGAGTGCACGCTACGAAGATGTAGAAGCCGTAGAAGAGCCAGATGGACAGTCTGGAGCAGCAGTAGGCGAGGAATCCTTCCCGAGAGACCCCGACCCGAACTGCACACGGTCCCTCCCTGGTCCCCTTAGGCCCTTAGGCCCTTAGGCCCTTTGCCTGAGAGTGGATTGTGCTTGAAGGCACATATGAAATGCCATAGCCTCACACGGTGCTGCGAAGCTGATTCAGCTGCGCCCTTGCGGCTTCCTACCCGGCCAAGGAGCAAGAGACCAACGGCGGCCGCAAAGATGGCCATGGCAATGAGCAAGCTCTTCAAGCCGCCACTTCGAAAGTAGGCGGTTGTGAAGGAGATCCTTCCACTGTGTCCGCCGCTACTGAGTCGCTCTGCCCGAAATTGAGACAGCACTCGATCTGCTTTGCACAGGAACTCGAACTCGAAACATTCGCCATGAGTGCTGGCATGGATTCACTCGTGGGTGTGCTGCTTTTGATATGCAACGTGTGCCACCGTAGTTTGGTTCTCAAGACTGCGCTCCCAGCTTACCTCTGCTAGATTTCTCAGGCCTGGATAGTTCCTCCACGTGGTCCAGGGAGCCCCAAGCCTTAGGCCAGGGTGTGGGCGCGGCAACTCCGCGACGGGCTAGTACTGGTAGCATCTATGTGCAAGATCTGGGGCTCCTTTTCATGCAGTCTGTGCTGTGCATGACGACACCAGTAGTTACTCCAGTTCACAGCTGCTTGCATGATCAATTCAAGATGGGGTTTGCAGATGCCCCGTCGCGCTCGTGCCGTTCTCTTCCGGGCCCTTGACTCATTCAAATCCATGACATCTACCCAAACTTGCGCCGGACGCGTCACACCCTGTCTCCGAGTGCCATGCAGGCCCGCTGAGCAGCATGATCCCGATAAACGCGAAGCCGCGAGGACGGGGACTTCGGAAACGAAAGAGGTAGGCAAACCTGCCGAGAGCAGGTGCCAGTGCGCAACTGCATGCCTGCAACGCTGCTAGCGTCTCGCACCTGTCTGGCAAGTGCACCCCAGTGAGGATGGCGAGCATGAAACCCATCACGAACCTGAGGCTTGGGCTTGGACTCGGCTCTGACGTTCGGCATGCGGCTGTGTTCAACCCTCCTGCACCGGGGTCGCGAAGTGCTGGGGCTGCCGCATAACCTGAAAGTCGTAGACAACTTCTAGAAGGCGAGTGTCGGGATGACAGTCTCGAGGAATGCCGAACCTCGAATCAGCATAGACCACGACCACGAGAACGAGAGCACATGAAAGGGGAGTTGAGAAGAGGTTGGATATACATGGATATACATCCCATAAACGCCAGTGCCGCCGCCACACTGGCAGACTATGCGCACCACGCAGTACTGCAACCTCGGCAGTGCGGCTCCTAGCATGCGACTGCAACTCTTCTTGTGCAGCACTTCCCAGCTAGCGGGTGCAGTCGAGAGACAGAAGGAGCAGGAACCATGCAGCCAACGCTGCATATTGCCTGCAGGATGGCAGTGTGCGGCTTGCTCAGGTTTTTGGCCAAAGGTCTTCATTGCCCATTATGTCGCCTCAACCCGTTGCCTGTCCAGCTTGTCTTCGGTGCTCCATCCTTCGGCAACTTCGCCGATGCTGCGACGTCTGCTTCATTTGGAAAGATACCATGCTTTCTGCATGTCTCGAGTGCTTGTCAGCATCCCGGCTTGGGTCCTGAATGCCCACTCCCGGTTTTCAAAAAGCTCGGTGGCATTAATCTTGCCGTTTGTGGCTTTCGTGCGAGAAACACACACACTTTCCACACCCAACGCGTCCCCTACACCAGCTCCATATCCTGGTGCTCCACACCTGCTGTAACTCACCTGCCACGATGCCACGAACATCTGCCGGCACAGGGTACATTAAATCGCATTCACATGCAAGTGCGACGTGCTCGTTGACATGGGTACTTCCCATATTCCATTAACTCTGTCATGACCTCTGGTATGTGCTAACAAGGCCATCAACACGAATTCGCGAACAAGAGAGATTCCCTTCGATCATGCAATCTCGTAACCTTGTCTGTCTGAGCCCAAACATCTCCCTTTTGCCAGTGCAAGGCCGCTCAGCCCTTTTCGGGCGTCACCGCATGTGCCATCAGTCCCACAGCACGTCGTTCATCTATCCCGGAAGATGTGGGCCAGCACACGAAGCCCACACCACGATCTTCGGTACAATTGGAAGCAGTGCATCAACGTGCGAGAACATACATAACAACGTGGCAACCCTGTCCCGCCTCCAAGGTACCCGATGGCCATGTCGTCCTGGACACTCAACTCCAGGACAGTAGCAGGACACAGCTACATGGCAATCGTGGGACTCCAATCACGGACCACAGCTTACGAACAATCGAAGGTAAGGCCAAGATGTTCCACGACCACATGAATCGATGTTAAACGGATACCTAAACTCTCCCATGCAGAACCTGAAGGTGTGCCACAAACCCCACGGCCTTCATGGCTTAAGCCTTCGTCTCCGAGCAGCGAGGAGTCGAAAGCCTTGGTCAACGTTTTACCCAAGTCCTGCTGCAATATTCGATTTCTTTGTGATGGATGCTGACCGGACATTTCATATCGCGAATGGTTCGGTCGAGAATGGGCCACTCTCTCCTCTAGTGCGGATGCAACAGCTTTCTGGCGATGAGAGAATGCGCTGCTGACCCTTCAACTTGACGATATACGGCTGCCATCCGGGAACAAAGCCGAGAAATTCGGAGTCTGCGGCATGGTGCCAGCCTGAGCTTGCGCGCCACCGGAAGGCATCGCCAAA